AAATACATAGTTTTGTCATCATCAAAAAGGAGGAGATTGTAAGAACAAGATTTGGTTCTGCAATATTATCTCTGAGTTTTGATGATAACAAATGAGTAAGATTGTATGAACAATTTTGTACACTAATGTTTGTTATTGTTGAGTACTTAACAAACAGGTTCTGATTCTGATGGATGGCGTGGCCAAGACATTAGAAGATAAATGATTATGCTTCTATGCTACACAAATTTTGTTGAACATTAGCAAGACACTCTAGAAGACTCTGAAGTGTAAAACTATGATATTTGTCTAAAGAAACCATTCAAAATATCTGAAGAGAGAAGTTGTTACTTATGTCCAGATGCTGAAGACTCAAGCTTCTAAAAACAACGTATTATAAGGAAATCAGTCAGAAGATCTGAAGACAGAAGTTGTTACTTACGTCCAGATGCTGAAGACTCACGTTTCTAAAAGACAACATGTTCCAAAGAAACAAAGTTAGAAGATCTGAAGACAAACTTTGTACTGAAGTTCAGATGCTGAAAGCTTGTGATTCTATTTATGAAGTTTTAAAGATAAGGGTTCTGAAAACCAAGTGCTGAAGACTCTAAAAGATAGAAGGTCTAAAGATTCTAAAGACTTGAAGTTTTAAAGATCCAAGGTTCAAAGAGAAGGTTCTCATAACCAAGTGCTGAAGACTCTAAAGACGCAGTTCTGAAGACTCTGAAGACTTGAAGTTCTGGACATGATGTTATGTTCTCGCTTTTGTACTCATGCTCGCAGAAGCCTCTGAAGTGCATAAGGAAAGAAGATAATGTTAACATGGTACAAATAGTACATGGTACAATCAATGTTTCATTCCACTACCATGAAAGGACAGACGCGTTGCACGATCTTGTCCCTCACGTTACTGTTCAAGCTGCTAATGTTTCTGGAAATTCCAAGAGTATCCCTCAATGGATACATTATGTTAATGGCTATATGAAGGCTTGAAGACTAAGAAAGAAAGTTGGCTAACTAATGAATATTCACACGCAAACGATGTTCATTGCTTTCACATTCTTAAGTCACTGTTCATAAAATAGTTTACATACTCAGCTTTTTAGAAGCAACACTCTTGTAAACAAAACTTGTATTCAAATTGTTGTTTGATATTCCTTAAGCGACCGAGTAGGTCTAAATCCTTAAGAAGTTAGAGCTTGCGGGATTTAGAAGTTATTAGTCACTTGTGGGTAGCTTATGCATTTTAATAATCAGGTTGATTATTAGTTGATATTTGGGACCGGGTAGGTCTGAATCCTTAATAAGTCTAGGACTCGTGAGTCTAAAGGTTGTTAGTCACTTGTGGGTAGCTTGTGCAAATTGTAATCAGTTTGGTTATAGTGGATTAAGTCCTCGATTGAGTGAGATGAAATCACCTTGGTGGGTGGACTAGACTAGCTTGATAATTTTCAAGTGAACTAGTATAAATATACACTATTCTTTACTTCCTGTTCTTGCTTATTGTTATTATCAAGAGAGAAGGAAAAAACATTTTTAACTTAAAGGGAATAATATTAATTTTTCAAAAGAATAGTTTATTTTAAAAACCCAATATAAATCCTCCCTTTCTTATGTTTTTCACACCTTCAGAAATGTCTCCGAACAGACGAATTCGTTTGAGAGAACTCTATTCTAGAGGGAAATGTTGACCTTAACCCCGACCCTCTTTATTGAAATAGGGGATGAGGACGTATCCTCCCTAGCGGGTAAACTCGTACGAGTTTATGAGTCTAGGAAGCAAAAATGAGTAGACTCACACATATAATCTTTTTTTGATAGACTCAAGTAGACTCGGGTAGACTCACATAAACTCGTATAGACTCGCGAGTCTATGGCAAGTTTATAAGTTTTTATGAATTTTCCTTTTTTTTTGAAAAAACCCAAAGAATGCCAAAATTCCCCAAAACAAATTTTTTGTTAAAAAAGACCTTATTTTATTACTTTTATGAGAATTAGAAACATCTTTCTCCAATCTCTTCTTGCAGCAAAGTTTCTTCCCCTCTTTATTGACGGCGTGATTGCGTTTTTCTGTCTCTTGTTGTGTTCACGTTTTTTGTCGTAAATCAATCCTCTATTGTATAAGTGTTATCTTATTTGTTTCACTTGGATGCTTCTCTGGTATGTTCTCGTGTATGTTCTTTTGTGTTATGTTCTCTTGTATAAAGATGCTGCACCATTTCATTTCAATCAAATCCACTAATCGCCATCCCCATATATCAATTTGCACATGACAAAATGGTTTAGAAGATTTATGATTTACGACAAAATAAATTGTTTTCTCTCTTGCAAAAATGCATTGCTCACATGAATTTTTTTTACAATTTTTACTAGCTAATTAATTATTAATAGTAATTATAAAAAACCCGCGTGTACAAGTGTTGTAAAGATGTTTGAAGCCATTAGCATATATGTTTTATGTGTTTTTGTTTTATGTAGTATCCAATTAAGAATGAATTAATACTTTAAGTATTTAACTACATACTTTTCTATTTTGTTTGTTCTATTATCGACCTTTTTTGTTAAGAAGTTTGTTATGGAATATAAAATTTAAAATTTGATGTTAATTGGTGTTCTATTATATATGTTTGTGTCATATGCATGGTATTTTCAGGTTTATAAATTTATGAGTATGTCATATATGCGTTACTTACAAGTTTTTAGAAGTCATTTTAGACTCGTACGAGTTTGCGAGTCGAGTCTACAAACCCTTTACGAGTATGAGTAGACTCGCGAGTCTGACAACCTTTCTCCCTAGTTAAAATGGTTGCAACATTGACTAGCTGGTTGACTCCGGGGGCACCGACAGCGGTCTTGGTGACCGAGATAAGACTGATGGTCATAGAAGGAGTAGTGGTCATAGGATGGGGTGTCACACCTAGCTAGTAGGATCAATCTTAATACCTTGAGCATTGACAAGGTTGTAGATCATCTTCAATTTGTCCATGTTATTTGCAAGAGGTAATCACGCATGTGAAAAACTCTAGGACTCTGTTCTCACTAAAAATCTCTTTCCTCTATGCCCAATCGACCACACTCACAAGGGCACGAGTATCAATTCCCTTCTTCCTCAACTCGAAAAAAGGAACTTCACTGAGATCAAACCCTTATTCATAACCAAGTCATAAACTCTGAAAATAGGATTATTATATACAACCAAAATTATAATTTTATTATTATCTATTCAGTTATTTATTTATTTTGATTTATAGGTTATTCATATATTAAATAAACTACGAGTCATATATCTGCTTTATCATCCTCTCAAGCCTCAATATCTTTAAATTCTTCACGTTACATTTGATATTTAAATTCATTAAGAATCTATGCCACAATTACATTATTATTTGCTATTTAAATTCACGAAGCAAATACAACATTTGTTTTAGATTAATACATAAGACTTGCAATTGACGAAATTAACAGTTATGGCAATTATTTTTAGTACAATTATAAAATTTGCAATTGTAGAAATTAGATGACACGATTCATGATTAGGAATTTATAATAAAAAATGAATCCCAACACTTGCATCGTATCTGATATTGAAATTTTCAAAGAAACAATGACAACTGTTTTAATTAATACAACCATAAAACTTACGATTACAGGAATTTGATGCGATGATTCACCATTAGAGATTTATGGTAAAAGGATGAACCTTTTCCTACTATTGAAATTCGTAAAATAACTACTGCAACTATTTAAACTAATTGAAATAATTTTTTTGCAATTATCAGGATTAAATACCATAATTTATTATGGGGAGCAAAAATTTAAACCCTAACATTTGCATTAAGAATAACCAAAAAAATCTCGACTTCAGAATTTGACCAATATTAAAGATATGTCACAATATCAATTAATCAATAAATTTTTAATCATGTACACAAATGTAAATCATAAATGGATGAATGATGAGTTAAGAATAATATTAACAAAAAAATAGTAATTAAATCCACCAAGATCATTCAAACTATTGAAAAATGATGTTCAAGCGTGATAGAGAGTCTGACGATTATTAATCGTATTTGTAGGCTAATCGATAGTTTTGAAGAAGTGTATGTTTGTCACTCGTACAAAGAAGTTAATAAATGTGTGGATGCGCTAGCTAACGTGTGTTGTAGAATTCGACTTGATATTGTTTATTTTGATGTTGCTCCAAATTGTATTGTGAGCTTGCTTGAGGAGGATTTTAGGGGTGTCTCCGCCTCTAGACTTGTTTCCTTTTAGATTTGTTTTATTGTCAGACTTTAGCCCTCCTTGTTAAAAAAATAAAATAATACCTAAATTAAGCAAAAAAAAAAAAAAAAAAAAGACACAAAGTAGTAATTTAGCCCAACAAAAGAAATGTGATCTATGTATGATGTATGATTAAGGTTTTAAGGTGGAGATACGTCAAAAGTAGTTTCTCTTTGCCGAGTGGGGTGCCAGAAACAATATATAAAACGGAACGTTTGATAACCGAGAAGGTTCATTACCCCTTTTTATGTCTGAGAACCCTAATTTCGTGAACTTGATTATAAACTTGCTTCTTGTTCTCCCAATTCTCTTCGGTAATTGATTTTTTTGCCCTAACTAGACTGTTTAGAACTGATTAAATCCTTCATGTCAGCTATCTCCTTTGATTAGGGATAGGTCAATTGATGATTTTTCATGTATTATTTATTGAATTTCAATTGCTTACGCACTATATTGTTAGCTTTGAATCATTGTAATTTTTCTTCCTAGCTACTGTACTGCACTGATTTGTTATAATTTAATTTTTTATTTATTAAATGTTATTGCATATCATCTGTGAATTAAGTTTTATTTATGAAGCATGCTGGGTAAATTATGAATGTGTGAAGTAGTGAATATAATCTGTTGGAAATTATTGAGAATCAGAATTATGCATTGTGCATGCTGTTTATTTGATTATGATATATTGTAGTGGAAGGGGCTGCAGTTCAGCAGGTTTTGGGTTAGGGTTATCGATCGAAATGGCATCAGTCTCTAGTCAGCAACAGTTCCGTTACACCCAGCCACCATCGAAGGTGCTTCATTTGAGAAACTTGCCGTGGGAATGCACTGAGGAGGAACTGATTGAACTTGGGAAGCCATTTGGAAAAGTTGTGAACACAAAATGCAATGTTGGGTCAAATCGAAATCAAGCTTTCATTGAATTTGTGAGTGTTTTTTCTTTTAAATCTTATTTTGACATTGTTTTCTCATTCATATGAAATAAAATTACTGATTGTTAGCTTCAAATCATACGTTTTGTACCATAACTTACAGACAGATTTGAATCAAGCCATTGCGATGATATCATACTATGCCTCATCCTCGGAGCCTGCACAAGTGCGAGGGAAAACTGTATATCTGCAATATTCCAATAGGCAAGAAATAGTGCATAACAAAACTGCTGCAGATGTTGCTGGAAATGTTTTGTTAGTAACAATTGAGGGTGAAGATGCACACCTTGTCAGCATTGACGTCTTGCACTTGGTAAGAAATGACATGTGTCACGTGTGCATCAGTTATATGCTGACACGGTCACCACAAGGATGCTAGTCCTTTAGAGTTGTGATTAGGTTTTTCTTTGTCAGGGCATGGAAAACTTGATATGTATATAAATGAATCAGCCGACCCATGTGAAGGCAATATCTTCGATGGCAGCTTAGTGCTTTGGGAGAAATAGCACTTGTGTGTTTGTCTCTTTTCTCCTTTCCCTATCATTACCTCTTTCTTCCCTATTCTCCCTCTGAACTCCTACCACTTTTGTAGTTTAGGATGTTGCCTCATTTTTTTTCTTCTCATTTGTGCACACATGCTGCATTTACTCATCATCTGCATTTTCTCTGTACATAGATTAGTCACCAGATTCTGTGATGTTCAGTTATTTCATTGTGTTGTTGCTATTGTTTGATTGTTTTTCATTTTTTTTTAGTCTTTGAAAGTAGGCTAAAAACTTGGAAGTTAGACGCTAGTTTTCTCATGGTTTATAGTTGAGGAGGTAGTTCACTTTGAAAGTACTATGTTTGAATCAAATCTCCATGTATAACAAATTAACTGCCCTCTCTTTTTGAACTTCTTTTATTATTCCAGTCAAGTATTCTTAGCAGTTATACATCTAAGAAAGTCATGATTTGAAATATGTCCCTTGACTTAGCTATTCCCCTACTTTCTGTAGTTAGTGTTAGAGATTTAATGAGAAATTTATAGAAATTCTTGTTGGTTTCTTAATTTTTCACTTGTTTTTCTCATTACTTACATTGTTCTATTTCTTGTGATACGACCAATACATGCAAGGAAAGCCTTTTTCATTAGCATATCAAGATATATATTGATTTGCTTAAAGCCTTAAATTTTCCTTGTGTTATTTAAGCCTTATCATGATTTTCTTTTTTAATCTTTATCTTCCGTTTCCGTTGAATGGAGCTTGGTGGGGTTTATGTAAGTAATGAGTTGACTTGCTTATATGCTGAAATTTTAATTTGTTGCATTCCCTCTTTTCTATCATATATCTTATAAAGCACAAGCCTTTGTTCATTTTGGGTTCAATTTTTAAAATTTATCTTAATAAATATCATCTTGAAACTTGAAAGTTTAACATTTGCTTTTGTAGGTGTTTTCAGCCTTTGGTTTTGTGCATAAGATTACTACTTTTGAGAAGACAGCAGGATTCCAGGTTAATGATAAGAAATCTTTTTTTTTTTTTGTTGCTGTCCCTATTTTGATGTTGTATTCAAAAAACTTATTCTATGTACTACTGTTTAGGCACTGATTCAATTCTCAGATGCAGAGACCGCTACTTCTGCAAAGGATGCTTTGGATGGAAGAAGCATACCCAGGTACCAATTTTAGTTCAACTGATGGGTAGGGTATCATGGTGGTAGATGTCATGTCATGGTGTATTTCAATACCCAACTATTTGATTGTAGGTTGTACATTCACACTTTGGTTATACTATCAGTCATTAAAATTATTCTTTTATTCTCAAGTTTTCTATCTGTTTGTCAGTGACACATTAGTATGATCAGCTACTGAATGCCAACTGGGCAGGACTTGAAGTCCTCAATTTTAGCTGAACTGCTACTTAGTAGTCATTTGGAACATTAATTAGCTCTTATTATTTCCGTGTTTGGTATTTCAGATTGTTGATCTTTAATCCCACCCTTGTATCAGGTATCTGCTTTCTGAACAGGTGGGGCCATGTACCCTCAAGATCACATACTCTGGTCATACAGACTTAACTGTTAAGTTTCAAAGCCACAGGAGCAGGTATTTCTGATTTCCTTAGTATTTTACCGGCTTGCTTGAAACCATGCTTTGGCAGAACTTTTCTAATTTTGTTCTTCTGGATATTGGTTTGATGTGTCACCCTTCATTAGCTAAGATCCCTTTTCCTTTCTATCATGAAAGTAAAAAATATATTAATTAGTTATATTTCTTTCTCCAGAGACTATACTAATCCTTACCTTCCTGTTGCTCAATCAGCTATTGAGGGAGGTGGACAGGTAACGTTTTGACTGTTTTGTTTTAAGGGATAGCATATTATATGTCCTGTCACTTGATTTGTGCAATTGACAACCTCAGAATTGCTTGTTTTAAAAGTCTTTCTTCATTCACATCTGTTAGGTGTTTGTCTTGCATGCTGACTTGCTTACTGAGGATTTTTATCCACATATAACTTTTCCAGGTCATGGTTGGTTTGGATGGGAAAAGACTGGAGGCTGAGAGTAATGTTCTTCTTGCATCTATTGAGAACATGCAATATGCTGTAACATTGGATGTCTTACACACGGTATTTTTAAGCCTGACAACTGTGTTTTTACACTGTTTTTTTTTACAACACAGCTTAGATAATAATATCTTACTTCTGTTCTTTTTGTGATAGGTTTTCTCTACTTTTGGACCTATTCAAAAAATTGCAATGTTTGATAAGAACGGTGCTTTACAGGCTCTGATTCAATATCCAGGTTAGGTTAGATTGTTTGAAGAATTTACCTGATCATTACTTTGATATACTATAATTGTAGTCTCCATTATTAGTACCTTTGCATAGTGCAAACCAAGTGGGTGTGCTTGCCAGACTGTTTTCCATGTCTCCTAAAGCCTTAGACATTTCATTTTGGGGAAGTTCTCATATGTGCTCCGACTCTTATGGATTATTGAGGAGATTGGCAAGTGTTATTGTATGCATTTGTATATGCACCTAGATGAACTTCTTCGTTTGCAGTATCATCCTGGATAGCTGCTTCGTTTGATCTAATAATACTTCAAACCAGAAGTAGTCCTACTGGGATTAATTCATATACATTGGTAGTTAAAGTATTTTTTACAACCGTCAATCGATCACAACTGTTAGATCATTAATCATATTTGACTTTAATCGTAACTGTTCCTAAAGTCACATGTATGATTCGTTGTGAATTGCTGACGGTTTTGAATCTTTGACATTGATATATGACGATTAAACTTTAATATACTTTGTAAAGAAGTATTTAACTAAGATACTTGTTCTTCGCTCAATTTTCCTGCGAGTAACTCTGTAGCTCCGACACTTTTGAAAAAAGGTGTGTCAGTGTTCGTGTCCGTGTCGGACAGTTGTGAGTAACTCTGTAGCACCTACACTGACACTTGTGATTACGTTCAATTTATTCATTTTTTAAAATCATTACTGGTGTCGACGTGTTAGTGTTGTGTCCGGTGTCCGTGTCTGTGTCTGTGCTTCATAGCTGAGTAATTTCCAAAGATTTCAATGATTCTGGGTATTTTGCGTGCTGGGAATCTCCTCAGCAAGGCCTATACTTATTTTTGATACGTATAGTGACAATTCAAGGGTTAAATATGCATTTTTATATCTGTTTCAATGAAAACATGCGGAATTTTAACCTTATCAGCAGTTAGAGATTTACTAGTTGGCCTTGTTTTATTTTGTACCGTCATTCGGCCATTATAAACTTGAGAGTTACATGCGATGGCTTGCAGATACCCAGACAGCTGTTGTAGCCAAAGAAGCCTTGGAAGGGCACTGCATTTACGATGGAGGTTTTTGCAAGCTCCACCTCTCATATTCACGTCATACGGATCTTAGCATAAAGGTAAACAATCAACCGTATCTGTAAACTGAAGATTAATGCCATTTAAATAAATTCTTGATTGAATATGTGAATTGAAGATGCGTTAAAACATTATGATAACTTGTTTATTTGTCTTTGTTCATGGCTATACTTGGTTAAATATACTCATGAACTCGAGTACCTAGTTTTGGACCTTGATTTTCTTTTCTGGGAAGATTTGGTGTGTCCTACACTGAATCCTTCTACTTTCAAGCTGAAAAGTTTCCCCTGTAATAATTGCTTTCCATCACACCGGTCTGAATCTCTCTACTGTATTTCAAAAATAAAAAAATTTTATAATACAAAAACTTGTTTCATAATTTTAGATTTACTGTCCAGTATTATATTTTCCTTTTTAATTTTTAAAGGGACCGTCGTGGCAGAGATCAACCGGTGTAATAATTTTTTGAACTTGTTGCATGCATTATGGCTCTGCTGGTTTAGTTTCAATGATGACTTGTTTAATTACAGGTCAATAATGATAGGAGTAGAGACTATACCGTTCCTATTACACCTGTTGTGAACCTTCAGCCCTCAATTTTAGGGCAACCTGTTCCTATGGTGGGTGCTCCTGCTCAGCAATACAATGGGTCTCAGTATACTCCAGTTTCTGACCCAGCTATGACACCTCAGCCACAAGCAGGATGGGGAGCAGCTCCACCGGCAGTTGCTCAATCTATGCCACTGCAGATGTACAACAATGTTTACATGCCACCTGGAAACATGCCACCACAAATGTCACCTGGAAACATGCCACCACAAATGCCACCTGGAATGCAATTTCCAAATCATAGCATGCTGCAACCAACATCCACACTACCTGCATATGGGTTTGATCGCACTCAATAGCTTGCTCGTCTTTGTCTCAAATAGATCTACATTTGCTAAGAGTCAGCTGATCTCTGTTGAAGCTATTTAAATCAGGGTTCCCATCTGGTGAAACTGGCAGTCAATAAATAGTGTGTTGAACCTCAAATAGGTCACTTTTAATTTTCCCTTTTAATTATTTTTACATTTTGAATGAGTGTCTGCATTAGATTGACTAAACTTTTAATTGGCTTAGCTTTGAAACAAAATGTTATGTTTGTGTCTGTTTAGATTAGGTCCGGAAATAACTAATTTTGTGACCAGGAAATGGTATTTGAAAAGTAATTTTAGTTAGTATGAGTATATCTCATGCTATTGCCTTATATTTAGCTATGGATTATAAGTTAAATTTAAGGTGAGGGAATAGTGTCCCATTTCAAGGGTTTAAAAATCACTCGCAATGAGATTTACATTTACCTTTTTATAAGGAAACTAGTGAGATTCAGAATCTGGAAACTCTAAATTTAACATCAGTTATTTTACCACTAGTTTAAAATACAACTTAGTTGGTAGTTGAAAGGGTATTATAGCTCTATTAAACTTTCTTACTGACATGAAAGCTCATTTGAGTCTGAAGTATATAACCCTTTTTAGGTAAAAGGAAGTTTGGGTGTGAAGTACACTTTTTAGGTAAAAGGAAGTTTGGGTGTGTTCTACTCGGTCTTAGTCTCAAATCTCGGCTCAAAGTGGAAGGAGCTCAATGTAACTGCTAAGTTATGATTGTATTCTCTAATGATCTCGGGTAAATGATGTTAGAAACAAAATAACGACAATCTAATGTCGATTGTCCAAAAGAAGGTTCTAGCTGAAACAACCGATTGAAAAAATTATCGAGATGAAATCAATGAAGTCGTTATCGAATATTTTTTATTTTACATGACGAGAAAGATAAACATTGAGTAAATCTGAGAAGGGTGAAATCAAGGTCGAACGACCAAGAGACACGTCAGTAGTACTCTATAGTATCCAATCGTATTGTTCTAATCAAATGATGTGGAAAATGTAAAGAGGGAATGCATGCAAAAGAAAACAGAAAATAATGTAGGAAAACTAAAGTTGTATTTGTTCGGGTCCTACTCCAATGCTTACAAATCTCTTTTAAGGAATCAAAGCAGCTGTAGTTTGACTCAAAAGTTTTTGTTGGTTTGTATTTTTTAATGAACAATATTAATTTCACCTTTTGCTGCAGCTCGATCCTTGGAGGCTCACGCGGTAGCACAAAAGTGAATTAACATGTTCTTTTGAAAAAGTTTGAAAGAAAGGTTCGAAGGCGGAAAAAGTTTGTATTGGTTGATATCTTTTACCTTAAAGAAGGATTTGAAAATTGTTAGATGTTTTATGATTTGTCAAGAAAAATAGTTTTAGTCTTAATGCAAGAGTGCAAAAGAAAGAAAAACATCTAATGGGACTAACCTAAATTTATCTCTAATGTTATCATACAATGATTAATCCTATGGTCGAGGATAAGAGGGAAGTCTCTACACTATGTTAACATGCATGGATACCTATCTTAATGTATAGCTCGAAAGCTATTCTAATCGAGCGATTCTAAGGGAAGCATGGTATAATAAACAAATAAACAAACAAGTGCTTTGACAAAAGAACACAAACATGAGTAGCACATACTGATTCAAAGGGATGGGGAAAACAAGAGAAATATTTTAGTTAAGGGGAGCGTATCACCCGAAGCAAACAAGCGGGAGACAAATGAAATAAAAAAGAAAAGAAATGTTTTAGCTAAGGGGAGCGTATCACCCGAAGCAAACAAGCAGGTAGCGAAGTATCAACAATGACCATTGCAAACTCTTGACAAAGTTGGTGGTTCATTGCGAATCCTTCTCCACATGACCGACTCGATACACAAGATCTGCACGAATCTGAAGCATCGACGTACAACATGAGCTAAGGATGACACAAACTGGAATGTGCGGGGGTAGATTGTGAACCCTTCTCGCTTGTCTCCTTTTGAAGACTTATCATGTGTAATATAATGCAGACACAAATGTAAGCGCACGTGCGGAATACCTACTTCAAAAGTAGGATTTTAAACAAACACAAATAGCATACGGAAAGTGGTGCATGCTACAAGACTTTAAACAGTGATTTCGAGCGCACACTCTTTATTTTCTACTTCTCATGATATTTAGAAAGCAGTAAAGTTCCTACTTCTCATGATATATAGAAAACAATAAAGTGCTGAAATGAGACAAACAAGAGAAAATACCAAACGAACATTAATCCGTAGCAAAACGTATCAAAACAAAGAAACCTGACGATCTTCGCGAAAGCTTCACCAATCAAAGAAAAAAGTCAGAAATTAAATGTTCATAATAAGTGTCGAAGCATCATCGATGTGAAAATAAACCACAATCGAAATCTCAAGCGCATCCTCATATCCGAATATCACATAATAAACCTGCATACAACTCAAATCTTCAACAAGCAAAGGTGAATTCACAAGTTTCGAGTAACAAAATGATTACTAACATAATCTATAATAGAAAATTCTAAACAAGCTTCTACAAAAGAAATTCTAAATTTTTTTTATTATATTCCATTATTCTTTATTGTTTTTATTATGGACAAAAAAACTATCAAAACTAGAGAATTAGTTTCTAAAAAAAATGAACAAGTCTTATCGATTTTGTAATTTTTTTATCAACAATCTATAACGAAAAAATAAGAAAAATGTCATAGAATTTATAGAGAAAATTAAATCAAAGGGGTTGTCAAGCTGAAGTCAGGGGTATATCCAAAAAACTGGGTGTCAGGCCCATGCTGGCAAAGTCCACACATCTATTTTTGTTCAAACTCCTTAAATCTCCAAAAAGATGTAGCAGACCAGGTAAGAGGGTGTACTTGAGCCCAAAGGATCATGCCTTTGGCCCACAATAAAAAATTATCACATCTTTTTCAATTTTACTCAACACATTTCTAGCATATAATCAAATTACCAAACAGGAAAATAATTAACGTGGAAATGTGGGTGAAACGTAACGTTTTGAAAAAAAAAGATATGGTTTAGAGTTATGTGGCTATTCAACTTCTTCAACACACGATAATCTCCTTCTCTTATTCTCTTGCAAAACGGTACCAAGTACCACTTCTCTTATCTCATCTCCGTTTTTTTACTCAGTCGCGATCTTTTTCTTCTCCGATCGAAACATAACGCCGCCACGATTTTTCCTCTCCCACGGAATAAACGTGGCGCCGATGTAAACATATCCTTCCTCTTTTCATCTCACTCTCCTTTTCAACCTAATCCTCCGTTCGATTTCATCTACTCAACTGTGTTGTCTTCTTCGATTTGTATCATTCTCCCATTCGTCTTTCTCATCTCAGCACACAGAAACAAAATGCTAACGTATAAACAGAAAGCTAACATACGATGAAAGGAAAACAATATGAAGAATTTGAAGCAACGAGATTGACCTACTGGAGATCTGCCCGATGTGTCTTCAAGCTTGCTGAAAACGAAAAATAAATTCGAGAAAAAACGGTTCAGGTATGCGTTAATCTTTCGCCTCTAATTTTCCACATCTTCTTCCTCTTTTCTTCTCTGAAATACTATTGTTGTTGATGTTGCAAGTTCAAAACTATTGCGTTAAAGGTGTAGATGACGAGGAATGTGATGATGTCGAAGCTTGAAGCAAATGATGAAGGTGTTGTGTTATTGTGCTTCAAAATCGTCAAAGACGATGATCCCCAATCTTGCTACGCGATGCAGATTGATGATGAAGATTGCATAAATTATGATGAAGATTGTGCAGAATGATGAAGATTCGATTATGGAAGATGAAGATGGAGTATGATAAAGATGAAAAATAATTTTGTGCAGAGAGAGAGAGAGAGAGAGAACTTTCAAAGATTTTTCTATGATGATTCTCCAGAGATTGAAGAATGAACAAAAAAGGTAAGTTTTTTGGTTTTATTCTGTTTCTCAGTAAAAGTTGGTTAGAGCTGAATTAATCCTGAACCATTGGATCTCAATTTCTGTTAGCGAATTGAAGGGTACATATTAGGCCGTTAGAGTTTGCTGCGAGGGTTAGTTAAGTAGTTTGAAATTCTGTTAGAGTTAGTTAGGAATCAATTTAGATCCCTTTTCTATTTTTTCTGTATTTATGTTGAACTGGTTTATTGGTTTTTCTTCTGGCTTGATATTTTCTCTTGTATGTTCTGATAGGGGTGTTCGCGGTGTGGTTTGGGCGGTTTTGAAGCAAAAAATCACCCGAATTGCAAGAGAAAAAAATATGCGGTTCGGTTTGATTTGGCTGGCTTTTAAAAATAAATCTGAATCAAACCAAACTAAACTAATGCGGTTTGGATTGGTTCGGTTTTTTACAAAAAAATTATTAAGCCATACATACACATATAGAGGAAAATATAATTTTGTGCTTAATTGTTCATACATTACCATAAAAAAAAATTTAATTGTCAAAATAAGTTTATAATTTGATACATAAAATTACGTATTATAATTTTATCTAAATCTAAAAAATGATATAGACAAGATTGCATTCTTAAATAAATATTATACAAAGAATACGATAAAATATATTTTGTGAAAATAGTATTATAAATGAATAATATTTTATTTTTTCATGATTTATAAATTAAAATAAATATCATACAAAGTATGATAAAATATACACACAATACATGTTGATTTCTCTAAAGAATTAAAGAATTATATATTGGTTAGTAAGATTTTATAACATAATGCGATTTTGTTTGGTTTGGTTCGATTTGCAAAATACAAACTGCAAACCGCAAACCGAACCAAACCATGCGGTTCCATTCCAAACACATCCGAATCAAATGCGGTTTTTTGCGGTTTCGATTTGGTTGGGTTCGGTTTTGGGGTTTTCTATTGGATCGGTTTGGTTTTGAACACCCCTATTTTCTGATTATTCCTTCTGTTTTATTGAGCTGGCTTATTATTTTTGATTTTATGATTTGTCTTCTGGTTTGATATTTCACAGTTTCCCTGTTTGGTTGGCTGAACTGAGTTTGTTAGTGCAGGTTGAAACTCGGGCAGCAGGGCAGTAGGTCGTGATGACATGATTTAAGAGCAAGTCAACAAATTTCATGTGAAGCTTGAAGATTGTAAAGATTCAGATTGAAAAGCAACATAACGAGAAGAAATACTTAAGATTAGATCCTTTCCATAATTGTTTTCTTTGCAAATTCTTGATGTAATGATCTTGTATTTGTAGTGATAAAAACTTTGCAATAAATTTGAATTAGTTTCCCACTTGTAATTTCCCTCCCATTCTTGCATTTGGGCTTCCAATGAATGAATCCTTTATATTCACTTGAATATGGTGAAATTTTGTTTGAATTTTATGTAAGTTGGTGGGACTTTGATGTTTGAAAGAAGCTTGGAATGAATGACATTGAACTTGAAATCTTGAATCATTTTGAATGAACTTGAAAACTTGAATGGATATTTGTAAATCAATATTCAAAGAACAAAAACACTCCACTTGTATTGTAAGCAACAAGTATAACAATGAATCTACATCATTATTCTCTGTACCATGATTTAGTGTTCTTGTAAATCAACCAATAAACTCTTAACTTGGTGACCAAAGATCCCACAAGGTGTCATGTCTTGAAGAAAACTTGTATCCTAAGGAAAAGTTGTCTGGAAAAGCCTATTTAAATCATGATACACAAATCCCTAATTGATGAAGTAAGGAATAGATGATTCCACCGTATCAATGCCATAATCAACCTCTGGGCGCTTCAACAATGAATGTACCTTTAGATTTTGAAAGAGTTTTAACAAAACCCCAATGGAATCAATAATCTTGACAAAACCCTTATCCCACAAAATATGAGCAGATGATTCATAAAAGTATTTATGCTAAAGCTCACACCCTCTAGGATAGAACTAAATGCTCATCACTTAAGAGAAAGCTTTAGATGAAAGTCAAGTCTGTAAGAAAATACAAGAAGTGATGACAGAACTTGTAACACAAGTAATGGATGGAGGTCCTTAATTATGAAGGAGAGAGAATCAAGATAACCATAAGATGCAACCCTAAACCATGATCCTCAGAGAAGAAACCTCAACCGAACACAATAGCTGAAAAACCCTGACTTTGACTACACATAGGGGAGTAAACCCTAATGGCCTTATCTCTTGAGGAGAAAGAAGTTCAAGGTAACCATACAGAACAACCATAAATCCACTCTTCATTGCTTGCAGAATAACTAGAAGAGTCAGAGGTAATCAGATTTATTGGGTATATATACCTCAGTCACTGTGAAACCTTGATATCGCACACCACTGAACATTGAACTCAATGTACTTTATTGAAATGCGAAATGTATGCTATGTTAATGACCTAATGAAAAGATGTGAATGCGACACTAATCCTAAGCCAAATAAAAGTACAATTAGGAGGTTTTGGGGTACAACAACTTCCCCTATTTAATCGTCTTACACCCGAAGGTGAGATTGGCACCAACCTTTCAAACTTTCAAGGTGGAAGAAGATTAAATACCAAAAGAACCCGAAAATTTACACTTCGAAGCCAGTCGGATATTATTATATTTTTTGGCTTTCTATATTTGTTTTTTTACTGTTTTTTGGATTGAAGTAGTCATCTGGGTAAATCTCTTGGATGTCAGGTCAAGGTTAGACATACACAAGAAAGAGACCGATCAAAGAAGGTTCTAACAAAGGAATTCTAATCGAAGACGAACTTACCGGGGATACAAATATACATTGACTCTGAATGGAACGCTGATCAAATGTGAGCTTACAAATAAAATAGACCAAATGAAGAGGACTCTTAACAAAAGGTATCAGGTGAAGGCGAATTTAAAGGTTGCCATCCACAAGTGGACTTTAAGATAATGAAACCATCCCAGGGGAATCTTTATCAACGAATACTATACCGAAGGTAGATTCCTGAGGAAAGGATACCGATCAAAGGTGAACTTAGAATGAAAAGAGACCAACCGAAGGGGACTCTTAACAAAAGGTACCAGCCGAAGGTGGATTTCAAGGGTGCCGACCGAAGGTGGACTTCAAGATAAAGAAACCAGCCGCAGAAGAATCTTTATGAAGGAATAATATGCCAAAGGTAGATTCTTGAGAAAAGGACATCGATCAAAGGCGAACTTACAATGAAAAGAGACTAGATGAAGGGGACTCTTAACAAAAGGTACCAGCCGAAGCGGAATCCTAACAAAAGGTACTAGACGAAGGGGAATCCTAACAAAAGCTACCAGCCTAAGGTGGATTTAAAGGGTTCCAACCGAAGGTGGACTTCAAGATAAAGAAACCAGACGCAGGGGAATCTTTATCAAGGAATACTATGCTGAAGGTAGATTCCTGAGGAAAGGACGCTGATCAAAGGCGAACTTACAATGAAAAGAGACCAGCCGAAGGGGACTCTTAACAAAAGGTACCAACCGAAGGTAGATTTCAAGATAAAGAAACCAGCCACAGGGGAATCTTTATCAAGGAATACTATGCCGAAGGTAGATTCCTGGGAAAAGACGTCGATCAAAGGTGAACTCACAGGGGATAAAGATATGCATGTATGGTCAGAGTTAGACACACAAAAGGGAAATTGGTCATCAAGAAGTAGATGTTCGGAGTTGATAGCGAACACAAGAAAGAGACTAACCAAAGAAATCCCCAACAAGAAAGGATGAATTCGCCTAAACAAGGATGCCAAACAACTGTACTTTGAAGAGACACTGAAGGACTCTTAACAGAGAAGGTTAGCTAACCTAACAAAAGGAGAACCCGAATAACACGGATAAACCCAAAAGCAAGGAACCGACTAAGCAGAACCTTTAGAGAGCACCGAGCGAAGGTGAACTCTACAAGAGAAAGAGACCAACCGAAGGGGACTCTAACAAGGATTTTCAAAACACGTTGGGATTTCGATAGGTTGCAAATGCACGAGAACTACAAAATCCCTCAGGCCAAAGGCGGGATGTAACTCTTTAAAAGTGGAAATCATTTGAATTACCATACACCAAGTATGTATACTCAAATACTTGAGAGGCAAGAAAGGATATACACCGACTCTTACTCACACTCTGACGGTAAAACAAATGCAGGTAAAATAACCAAGGGTTTGCAAGGGCAAGAGAAAACCATGACTTATTGGGGAAATAGAAAGCACCAAAGACCCGACTGGTGGTGAATCAAAACAAACTCCGCTGGGGAAACAAACTAGGATCACCCTAAGCTTGCTATGAATATAATTCAAATCTGAACGCATAACAATTTGGTTATTGCAAGTAAACATAATTGGCTTACACTTATGCATGTTTGAATTTTTTTTATAGCGTAATGCTCCATACAATGGAAATACTATGAATTTTGGTAGGTGCAATATAATGATGCATGTTTAGCAACGCACTGGGAAAAGCACGTCAATACTCAGCTGCTGAGAAGACAATGAACTTCCGAACAATTATCTTGCACATCTGATCTTCTGTAGAGAAAAGGCAATCTGAACTTCAATGGGGAACCGAGATTCGTAACCTCCAACCTATAAATATCAATATCACCGAGGAAGTAACTTCCTAGAGAGAAATACTACAAAAATAAATTGCATTCCATAGAAAATCTTGAATTCTGATCAAACTCCCAACTTCCTGGGGAACAAATTCTTTATCTTCTGTTAGAAATAGGAGAGCTTCGCTGGGGATGGAAACTTTCTCACGTAGAATTTCTTGATGAAGATAACTCTTAATGGGGAGTAGTATAGAAATTCTTAAATAAAAATAATTCTACTCATACCACACCGGGGATACTACCACCGGGGGGTAAAAAATCTTCACTTGGGGGAAGAAACAAATATCCCGGGACAAAAACTCCATTGGGAATATCTCAATAAAATCTTCTATCATCGAGGATGAAAGAGTTATGACTGGGACTCCCATGTACACCATACTGGGGATACATGAAACTTGCTCCACTAGGGAAAAAGAACTTGCTCCACTCGAGAATAATAGATAAGTTACTCCAGCAGGTCCTAGAAATTCGATGTCGACTGGGGATAAAGACTACCTCTTACACTGGGGAGCCAAAAACTTTAGATGGTAACATCAATAATATCCATTGCACTGGGTATATCCATTTCGTCAAGATTCAAACCGACAAAGATTTTGTATTGGGGGGCAGAAATCACTTTATTAAGGATGATGGTTGTCATCATGAGGATACCAACCAGAATCTCTCACAGGTAAACATGAATCTCTTCTAGAAACTCTGATATAGGCAAGCTGCATTGAAGAGAGAGGGTGCACGCCTCACTGAGGAGGAGGATGCATACTTCATGGGGAGGACACGTGCGAACCTCATTGGGGAAGCCGTAGAATGTCAACTTCAAGAGGAGTATATCAAGAATATCTGGTTGGTGAATAAAATGATTCTTCTGAGAAAACCTAGAAAGAAACAGACTGCAATGAGAAGGAGAATACTCAGGCGAGAGTACGCCTTTACTGGGGAAAATACTGCAAAAATAAATTGCAGTTCAGGAAAAATCTTGAACTATGATCCAACTCCCAACTACCTGGGAAAAAAATCCAACATCTCTTTCCAGGGATAAAGAGAATCTTGCTGGGAACCGGGACCTTCTGATGTAAGTCCTCAATAAAAGTGACTTCAACTGGGGAATCATAGAAATTCTTAAATAAAATAATTCTACTTAAGCCACACTAGGGATACTACCGCCAGGGAGTAAAAATCTTCACTAAGGGAAGATGGGGGAATCTTTGAACCACAAAATTGAGGTTCATAACTTCACCGAGGAAATATTTCAGCAATACTTTATCACTGGGGATAAAAGAGCCCTAAACGAAATTCGTCTATGCATCCTGCTCCAGAAAAACAGGAGACTTGCTCCACCGAGGCTTAATAAGCATACTGATCAAACATCTCTTCAAGAAAACATGACAGTGACAAAACTTCCACGGGGAGAAAAGATACAAACTTCATGGGGATGACAAACGAAAACGTCACTAGGGAGATAAATACCAACCACAGAGACACAGGGTACCGACTTCAAGGGGATATAACAAAGGTATTCAGTCCAATGAAATGACCCTTCCCAGATTCTTCAAAAAGAGTAGACTGTGCTGAAGAAGCAGATTGTACAAAAATGTGCTAAAATGCACTTCTTTGGAGATAAGCCCTCTAGAAGGGAAAAACTCTTAAACAAACTCTTACCAAGAGTGCTGACTTCAGTGGGGATTATGCATGGGTATACTTCCACTAAAGATAAGGGATTCTGTCTGGGCGAG